GGGTTTGGGTTTAGGGGTTTTGGGGGTTTAGGGGTTTAGGGGTTTAGGGATTCGGGTTTCGGGTGTAGGGTTTAGAGGTTTAGGGGTTTAGGGGTTTAGGGGTTTAGGGGTTTAGGGGTTTAGAGGTTTCGGGTTCCGGGTTTAGGGTTTAGAGGCTTAGGGGCTTAGGGTTTAGAGCTGAGGGTTCGGTTTAGAGACTTGGGCACTCGGGGCTTTAGAGGGGCTGTTTTGGGGGTTTCTGGCTGGAACTGGTTCAACACCGCAGGCTGTATAGTTCTATAGTCAAGTGTTTGATGGGTTGTATAAGAGGATTCTGCAAACGGAACTGTCATAGGGAAATGCGATAGGGTTCGTATTGTAGAAGAATTCTATAGAAACTTTAGGGGGATACCGATCCCGTGCAAGTGCAATGCTGGGCTCTTCAGGCTTTGGGCTGTCGTGAAAACTATACCAGCGAACTTCTAAGGTTCGGCAGTAACTATATGAGTTTTAGTTCGAAGTGGTTATATATGAACAGTATGACTATTCTTGACGTTTTCCCGATACAACTATGATATAGAGACAGCCCAAATCACTTTGTAGCTGTTGGGGACTTTAGGCGAAGGCGCTCAAGGTTTCGGGATTTGGAGCTATGGTGTTTCGGGTTTCGTGTTGGGCTTCCGTGTTTGCGCCTTCCGTATGGGATGCTCTATGCAGAAGAATAAGAATGTATGTAGGCCGGGCGTTGCGGCGCCGTTGTTCTTGTGTGCGTGTACGGATTTGGGAGATTATGGGGTACTCATACGTCGGCTTTTCCATCAAGCTTTACAGGATCTGTACCCGTTCATAAGGCTCTGCAGTTTTTTTGTGCCACAAATGCTTCCACAGGCAGGACCCCCAGTGAGCCCTTCGGATCCAGGGGACAAGAAGCCTCAGAGCCCAACAACTCTCCAGCTCAAAACTCCTAACCTAACCTAGAACTTAAGACCTTAAACCACCTAAAGCCATGCATCCCAACGCTAAAGCCCCCAATCCCAAACCCGAGAGTAAACGCCCACTAAGAGACCTCGCATCCGGCTGAGTATGGTGAACCCTAAACCCAAAGAGTGTCGAACTTCCACCAGAACATCCACAAAAACCCTGTGAAAACGAAAACGAGGATCCCAAGGTCCAAAGCCCCAAATCCTAGCCGTCCTATCCCTAAACCCAAAGGCCCCGTAATGTCTTGAAACTGCTACTGCTAAGCCCCTATACGAAATCTCTGCCTTCGGGATGGGCACTTGGAATTATAGTATCACATAGACATTAGACACAACTTGCTGATAAAAACGAACAAATCTCGTAGAACCCTAAACCCTAAACCCTTATAAACATATGAAACACGATGACAGCCTGTAACACAAGCCCTGCTAAACCCGAGTAAACATATGAAGCACGATGACAGCCCTGTAAAAAAAAAGCCCTGAGACTCTGCCTCGGGGCTCTTGAAAAAGCGCAGGCAGCATGCACAACACCCCTTCGAAACCTTCAACCGCACAAAACCTCACAAAAGTATATCTATAACTCTCTCTATATATACGTATATACATACGTGCATGCATATATATATATATATATACATATATATATATATATATATGTAGGTTGAACATGCACAAGTTAAACCCCAAGCGCCTTGGGGATGAGCTCTTCGAAGAGGATCTTCAAGGCTTCTCTGCACTTGTTCGCCAGCTCCGTCTCGACCTCCCGAAACTCTCAGAGCGGTGCTGTGTTTTGGTTTAGGGTGTCTCAGGGCTCCTTTTGGTTTAGGTTTTAGGGTGTCTTAGGGCTTAGGTTTTGGGGCTTCTGGTTTAAAGGGGGCTCTGTGGATTTGGGACACTTGGGTTTGGGATTTGGGGTTAGAAGGGGTTCAGCACCAGTGGCTTCAGGAGTAAGGCTTCAGAATTTCGAGTTGGGAGTTTAGGCTCTAGTGTTTGGCCTTGAAGGTCTTGTGCTCTTTGACTCTGAGTATGACCCAGAACCCCAACCCTAAACCTTAAATCCCAAACAATGAACCGGAGACATCTGAATCTAAACCCCGACCCCCAAACCAGGCCCCAAACCCCAAAGAAAGCGAAAACTCCAGAAACCCCCTAAACTCAGCCCTAGAGAAGTTTGGAGAGCTACGCGATATCCCGCAAACCATATTCTCTAGACCCCAAACCCTTAAACCCCCCGAGACCTACGTCCCAACGGTCCTTAAAGGAACCCTAGGGGGTCTGTGTCAACCCCTCCCCCCCAAAAAAAAACAAGTCTCGACCTTCTCCCGAAACCGGAAGCCTTGAACCCTCCAAAAGCCCCCGGCCTTCTCCCTAAACCCTAAACCCCAAAACAGACGAAGAAATCGCAGTCCCGACCTTCTCCCGGTAATTCTGCACAACCCCAAACCCACAGAGCATCCCTGCAAGCACCCCGTTGAAGGTTATAACGGCGATGCATATGGTCATGCTCCGATACCTGCCATTTATGCAAGGAAAACGGTGGTTTAAACAGGAAACACTACGGGATGAAACTAGCTTGGGCGAGTCGGACAATAGACGAAACATGGGAACACATAGGAAAAACATAGGAAATACCTTGCGCTTCTCCCATTGGTCCTGCATTTTTCCGGTTGGTGTCCCTATGTTCCTACTTGTTGTTAGGATATCAGCCGTGTTTCCCATTTTCTCTGATTTGCTGCGACCGTGGGTTCCTACTTCTTTCGATGTTCCTGGCATTTCCTTTTGTCATATGTATGTCCTATGCTTTTGCTTCTGCATTCGGTTAGCCTCGTATTTTCAGTTCGTATATTATTCGCTTGTGTTTCCTAGTTGGTGTCTATTTAAACTCATCTCGACATGGTCCAGCATGTCCATTGCTCGACCTTTGTAACCCTAAGATAAGCATATAAATCCCATAAACCAGCCCTTGGGGAACCCTATAGATACCTTAAAGGATCCCTTAAAGGGAACTCTATAGATGCCCTTAAAGGGAACTCTACAGATCCCTCAATTAAAGGAGCCCTTCAGAGGACCCTATAGATCCCCTTAAAGGAACCCTATAGATCCCTTAAAGGACCCCGACCTTCTCCCGGTATTTCTGCACCAGCTCAAGGATCGCCGCGCCCTTGGAGGCTGCAGCTTCGCGCTTCTCCAGGGTGTTGACCTGGCTTCCATCGGGGTTTAAGGCAGTTTAGGGTTTAGGGTTTTGGGGGTTATAAGGCAGTTTACGGTGTAAGGCTTAGAGTTTAGGATTTTTGGATGGCTTAGGCTTGATGGCTTCAGTCGTCAAAAAAAAAATCGAAGGGCAAAAGAGGCAGGATTCTGGGGTTTGTAGGGGCTTCAATGAAAGGGTCTTGGGGCTTTAGGGTTTAGGGTTTAGGGTTTTGGGTTGGGGGGAGGTCACGGGAGCTTCTTGGGGCTCCAAAGGGGTTACAAAAAAAACCAAAGGTTGCCACCAAGCCACCGCACGCCAGGCTTGTCTTCCTTGGATTGGGGTCGTTTCTCGGCGCCGTTAAAAGGGTACCATGGACCATAAGGGTTCTATAGGGTGTCGGGTATCAAGCTCCACGTGGTCAAATTTGTATATAGTTACTTTCGCCCGTGGTCAAATTTGTGTATAGTTACTTTCGCCCCAAAATACCTATAGAGGGTCTTATTTTAAGTTATTGTGAAGCATCAAGGTTCAAGTATATACTACATGGGCACATGGAGCCTTTGGGCTAAAGGGCTTGCATGGATTCCCCTAAACCCTAAACCCTAAACCCTAAACCGTCCCTAAACCCTAAACCCTAAACCCTAAGGCTCTGGCCCCAGGGCTTGCAGGTGGTGGATTGCGGGTTTGCAGCCCTGAGCCCCAAGGCCATAACGATAAGTCCGCACGTCCGACAGGCTAGGTTTAGGGGTTTAGTGGCTTAGGGTTTAGGGGGTTGTATAAGGGTTTAGGGTTTAAGGGTTTATATAGTAGGGGTTCAGGTTTAGGGGTTTAGGGTTTAGGGCGTAGGGTATATGAACCCTAGACTTTCCCAAGACAGAGACTAAGAACCAGAGGCCAACCACCGAAAACGCAAACAATCCAAGACCCAGAAACTCCGTGCGATTAGGGGGTTATAGTTTAGGGTTTAGGGTCTTGGGTTTAAGGCCCTAAACTTTAAACCCCTAAACCGTTATGGTAGTATGTCTGGGGTCTGTGGGTTAGTGAAGGGATGAAGGGCCGTCCAGGTCAGGTAGTGTTCCAGAAACCTGAAAGCCATCCTTCGAGACAGGCAGCTCGCGCCGACGGCGTGCTTGTACGCCACTGAGAAGAGGTTGCCTTGGGCTTAGGGATTAGGGTTTAGAGTTTAGGGATTAGGGTAAGTAGGGCTCAGAGAAATGCCTGAATTCTGCGTGCAGCATGATCAGATCCCGGATGCCAATATAGGGTTCGGAATAACATGCAATAGTGTCCCGCATGCCCTTTCAGTCGCAACATAATCTTAATAAAGTGCTAAAGCCCTTCTTACAACGTAAGCTAATTGACATTCACAGTTAATTACAAAATCAAGGAGCTTGACAATAACATCTTGCTGCAACCCCATGCATGTACGGGACAACTGTTCAAATCCCTCAAATGCCAAAGTAAACCAGTTTAAGCCCACTGAATACGAAGCTTCAAGTCCAACTCCCGCACCAAACAAACAAGCCACACCCGAAATCCTAAAATCCCCTACACAACCCGACGAGCATAGGCCCTCATGAAACCCTCATGGACCCTTATTGCGCCCTTTCTGGACCCCTGATAGTGTCCCGAACCCCTGCAGGCCCGCACCCAGACCTTAGGGACCAAGAGACAGAAACAGAAACATGGTATCCTACCAGTATCCATCGTTCTGAATCCTTTACGGGGCCTGGGAACTGTCGTATCCTAAAAGGGAGGTGGTGCAAGGGGGTGGGGCACTAGGAACCTTAGGGAAATTGGGAAACCTTAGGGAGCACTAGGCAGATTTGGGCATTACTCATTTTAAGGTTTCGGGTCTGCGGTTTAGGGTTTGAGGGAGTACCATGTCATATACCGATATACCCCTCTGAGGACCAACGGAACCTACTGATGTCAAAGATCCCGTAGCTGAGCAATAGAGTTTCGCTTGCAGAGGGATCCCTCACGTGATGAAGAGTACGTTCCCTACCAAACATTCCCTACCAAGCTTCAGGTGGGTAGTTCTCTAAATTCGGGTCCCCTTTTAGGTCCCCAAACTAGTATGGCACCCTTTCAAAAAGGGACCCTAAACGGGATCCATGTGATTCAACGTCTGTTCATGTTCTCTGCGAAACCCTAGACCAGACCCCTCTCAAAAAAAGAAAAAGCCCTGAACCCTGAACCCCAAACCCTAAACCCCTAGATCCTGAGCTCTAAACCCCAAGACATCTGCCCTAAACCCTAACCCCACCCGCTCAAAACAAGAAGGCCAGATGAGCAGCGCTCATCAAGGTTCAACTCGGAACCTGAGAAGCGGAAGGGGATTTTGGGTTTTAAGCCCTACCCATAGGCCCCATGGTAATTCCTTTGTGGGGGTTACCTTACAGGATTCTATATATGAACCCCAAAAAGAAACTACTTTAGGGCCTTTGGGTAAACCCTAAACGAATTCAGGGCTTAGGGCTTATATGGGCTCAAGGAGTTTAGGGGATTTGTTTGGGCACTAGGGTCTAGGGTTTTAGGGGAATCAACGGCTCTAGGGTTCTAGGATTCAGTGGGTAGTGCGTTGAGGATGGGGGATATCTGGAGTTTAGGGAATTTAGGACAGAGGGCTTAGGGAATTTCAGGGTTTAGGCATTTAGGGTTAAGGGTGGCTTAGCGCTTTAGCTTTGGGAATGAAAGTTTGGGTGCTGCTTTGAAGCGGGTTTATAGCAGGGTTTAAGGGTTTGGGAATGAAGGTTTATTTCTTCCTCAGAAGGGGGCGGTATTGCGGGGTGTTGACGGTCTAGGTTCCTACTACCAGTGTCAGATAGAGGCATTAATTCCTTGATCGGATTTGAGAGGGTGGTAGGTTTGACAAAGACATGAAGGAAAGCCTAAGGAATAAGAAAGGCAATTATCCAAGTCCGCGTAATTAATATGTTTGGTGTAGCTAACAACAGCTTTGGGGGTCTAGGGCTTTCCGAGAGCTGGACCTTCGAGAGTGTAGCATTCATCCTTGTGCATGAGGTTCGATGGGTGTGGTTTCAGGGTGTCATCATTGCAGGATTTCCGATGGCTGCGCTTTGGGAGCAGGGAGTCGTTAAACAACTGACGGTGACCTCCATGGGACCTGTAGAATACAGTGCAAGCAGTCAGGCCCGCAGCAAGCACCTCGTGCAGCCCTTCCGGAACCCAGCAACAAGACATGCTGCCTAACCGGACCTCCCAAATTACTTCAATGTGCATTCAGCAAGAGTCTTATTATATACAACACTAAGACTGCTGGCATGATGTAGCGCCTTTTCTAAATCAGGCGGTACGCCTGGAACCATACGGACCCTACGACCTAAGCCCAGGGCTGCAAACCTCCAAGAAAAACACAAAACTTGCAAACCATCCCAAAAAACGCTAGACTCCGAGTGCCAAGCATCTCAACCCCGGCCACGCGAACCTTGCACCACCACCCTGGTAGAGCCTACAAACTAGAAAACTAGAAAAAACCTCAGGGAGTCCTTAATTAATTCCTCTGATAACCACAAAATACCCGAAACCGAAACCCTCGTCATTAG